TAGATGACATGTGATTGTCGCGACGGAATGTGGAACTGTAAAAGTGTGCGAGTGTAAGATAGTGATACACGCTTGAAAAGATGGGTTGTGTGAATTTATATTATTTTTTTTTATATCACTTGCGTGAGTGAAATGTTTCAATCAACATGATAAACAATTGGAAATGTATTTTAATTTTGCGACGACGTTAGATCGACTGGGATATGTAGCCGTTCTAACTTTTCGCAATTCCACAGGTAGGAATAAATGACACTAATCTGCTTAACATCAGCCTTTTTATTCATACAATGATCCGTCATGAAAATGTGGGACAGTGCTAAAAATAGACGTTTTGAGAGTTTTTTTTTTCTTTGTCAAGAACCTCAATACTGCCATAACTCATAGAGTGACCTGTGGTGTGAATATGTGATGCCAAAGCACATCTCTCTGGATGTAATCTGGCGTCACTTTTGTGTGAGATTATCCTGCCTTTCAGTGATCTCGATGTTTGGTCTATATAAACTAAATTACAGTTGTTGCAATTAATGCGTTAGAAAGTGTTGGTTGAATCAAGCAACTGAACCCTACCCTTCATTTTGGAAAACAAATTGTTGACTGTGAGCACTGATTTACGAGCAAACCGACAGTTAAAGGAATTATACAGCCTGTTCAATTTTGGTGTTAATTCTTTGATGTATGGCAAGACAACATAATTAACTCTGGAAATAGAAGCATCCACTGTAGTGCTGTTATTTTCATTAGTTGAAGAGTATATATATATATATATATATATATATATATATATATATATCATATGAATTGTCTAAATTAAAAGAGGGATATTAATCTTCATTTTTACATGCTGCAGTCTTCCCAGAAAAAATGGTATCAAGTAGGTCGACTCTGTACTTCCTGCGCATCGCGTTCATCAGTTCAGGAAGTATTAAGCCCAATTTAAATCATTCGATAAATAAGTCTATTACGGAGTTGTGCAGCAGAGAAGATAGATTAATCAGGTCAGTCAAACAGGCCCTTACAATCAGTCCATAGGCATGCTTTCCCTTTTGTACCGATAGTCTACTGTCCATCGCGCAGCGTTGTCCTTGCCCACATATGTGCGCCAGCGCCCACCGCGGCACTGCTGCAGCCAGTTGTCGTTTATTTCATTTATATGTTATGTGCGCTGTAGTATTGAAAACATTTCTTCTAACATTTTAAAATGATGTGGAAATCTAAGATATGTGATATATGGCTAATAGTATCATTGTAGTTGGGAGCGTATAAATCAGGGTATACATATACTAGCATCAAAGAAATCTTATAGATAGATAGATAGATAGATACATTTATTGTCTTGTAGATCATAAAAAATGACATAAGACTCGTCCTAAGAGGGAGGTACATAGTACACATAATTAAAAATAAAATCGAAACAAACATAAGTATTTACAAAGTACAAACAGGGACAACTTAAGGCGTACAGACATTCACATATAAAAAAAGTTTAAAAAAAAATATATCACAGTGCGAGGTATTTAGACAAAGAGTAGAAACATTTTTCAACTAATAATTTTCGTAGTTTATATTTAAAACTAGCAATACTACTGACATTCCTGAGGTTAGCTGAAATTTTGTTATATATTCTGATGCAGGTGTATTCCGCTGACTTTTCGAACAGCGTCAGTGTGTGTTTTGGAATACTCAGACTCTCACCTGCCCTTGTATTATAATGTGTGTTGATGTTTTTGTTCTGTATAAATTTTGTTTTGTTTGTATGTGTGAAAAGGGCGCACTTATAAATATGAATGCTTGGTAGAGTCATGATGTTGTTACTTCTGAAGATATCTCTGCAGGATTCTCTTCTACGAATGTTGAATATCAATCCGATTATTCTCTTCTGCTGAACAAATGCTCTAGAAATTGAAGTTGCTTGTCCCCAAATTATGATGTTCCTTGATAAATGTGAGTGGACGAGAGCATAATATACATCTAGTAAAGCTGACTCTGATAAGCAAAACTTGAGCTTAAGAATCGCATAATATGATTGATTCAACTTTTTACACACACTGTCCATGTGTTGTTGCCAACTGAGCTTTGCATCCATTTCTATTCCCAAGAATGTCGTAGTTTTCGATGTCTCATGATTTGCTAGAATAGGGGCGTTTGCATAAAAATGTACAACATCTGACTTTTCGAGGTTTAAAATCAAACGATTTGCTTGGCACCACCCTTTCATTTCACCTTTCACTCCATTTATTTTTGCAATAATCATAATCATCCACATAATTTGTTACAAATCCAGAGAGGTGCAAATCACTTATATATAGAATGAATACAAGGGGTGCTAAAACTGAGCCTTGCGCTGCTCCAATGTCGATACTGTACGTTGCGGATGTAATTCCGTTAACTTTTGTTTTGAATTTCCTGTCAGACAGGAAAGACACTACCCAATCTAATATGAAACCTCTTAAACCTAAATAAAATGATTTTTCCTCGAGAAGTCCAATGTCAATTGTATCGAAAGCTTTCGATAGGTCAAAAAAGATGCCCGCGATACATTTATTCATATCGAGCTGTTTATATATCTGACATACAAACTCATAAGTAGCTGTCTCTATTGAATGAAGTTTCCTAAATCCATGCTGAGAGCTTGGGATAAGGTTGAATTTTTCAGCATATCCCAAAATTCTTGAATAAATCGCTCTTTCGATTATTTTAGAAAAGATTGACAACAATGATATGGGGCGGTAATTATCAACTTGAGTAGGATCTCCATTTGTTGGAACGGGAACTATTATCGCAAGATTCAGGTATTTAGGAAATTTGCCTTGATAGACAGACATGTTAATTAAAGTAGTGAGAGGACCTGCAATTTCATTTAAAACACTTTTAATAACATGAGTAGTTACACCGTCACTACCACACGATTGTTTGTTTGGAAGGTTGGATATGATTAATTTCACTTCTTCATCGGTGACCTCAGTGTAGAACATTGAATGCGCTACTTGAGTTTTAGCTTCTGCTGCTGGTAGTGGGGAGACTCCTTTGAAGTGGTGTTGAAGCTTACTTACTACTGTGCTTGAAAAATGTTTCCCAAAAGTGTCAGGCACACTAATCTGTCCCATATCTCCACCGTTGTCATTTTTAAGCGAAATTACTCCAAGTTCTTTTTACGTCCAAGCTCCTGGTTGACTATTTGCCAGATCTTTTTTGTCTTATTATCAGCTGTTTTAATTTCGTTGCAGTTATACTGCTGCTTGGCCATTGAGATCAGTTTGCGATGTTGCTTTTTTCTATCAATATACGTTCGCTTCAGATTTATATCTTGCTCGTTCTCTCTTGTAAGTTTGTACACATTTCGTAGATTGTTGCTCGACTGCTTTAACTCCGGTGTTATCCATGATTTGGGTTTTGTTAAAGGTCTGCACGTAAAAACTTTCTGAGGAGATGTCCTATCGAAATGCCACAGAAAGGTGTTGAGGAATTTTTCGAAAGCATCATATACCCGAGCCCACCCGTTACAACCCCAACTCCCGAATTTCAAGTCTCACAACAAATTTTCTGTAAATAACATCTTGAAATTAAGCTTGAGCGACTTGCATTCTTCTATGCTTCGGCCACAATTGACGGATTTTAACTAACAAGGCTTTTTGGTCCTTGGCAGAGTATTGACCTTGTGCCATATAACATCCAACAACCATATCTCATTTTCTAAATTTTTAGCGATTACAATACTTTCTCGCCCAATGTCATAGGAAGTAAATACTGTACGTCAAATTTCAATTGTAAAAAGTACTTCAAAATTTGGCTTGGTAATTAGCTTGAAACTGAATGAAGTATGAGACGCGCTTTACTCTGGAAGCTAAACTTTTATAGAAACTATGCCTTCTTTCGGTAAAATTTGAGTGACGGTGTCCTGCGAACAAATATCACCTGGATACGCTAGTGGGCATGTTAACAGTAAACGAAAATGAACGATGGATAACTATTTGTGTTTTGGCTATACCAAAGCTTATGATTATCGCAGGTAATTCAAATTGAATACGGTAGCATTTAATTGACGCATATATCCTCGGTTGCAGAATAACTGTATTTTAATGCTCTGCTCATAGGCTAGTGAATGTGGATATATGACCCGTGGAAATACTATTAGGACCTGCGTTCGATCAACGTGTGAAAATATCTAGAATTGTTATCCATTCAGAACATATAAACTCATGCTCACTTGTCACTTTGGAGCGGATTAATGACTTTAGGGAGTGGGAATGCCTACTCCAGGCAGTCTTGCCTTATTAGTTTTAGGCGGTGTCGTCTTTTTTTTTGGACAGGTAAAAAAAGATTATGCTTTTATAGCCACTCTCAGGCAAAACACCTGGATAGGATTGCTCTATCAGCCTTTTCTGCTCGAGGTGTAAGATTTTCCAGGAATGCGGCATACTCGCAATCGTTCGGTATACCTCCCAGCACAGTAATCCTAGCAGCATTTTGTCGTCGTGGCAGCGTTGCGTCAAGTCTGCATACCAAAGTCATTCAGTCATCACATTTTTAGCATCGTTCATATACATATATACTTATGTACATGCACAATCAACAATTTAAAAATAGACTGTCGTGCTAGTAATACCTTGAAGCGACTTTCAAAGCCCCTCTAAACAGAATCATATTGGAATTATTGAATCAGCGGATCTCACGCTTGAGTGACTTCACAAACATACCAAACCGTGGCTTATATTACTTCTTGCGACAATTCTTAGACGTGTCATTTTCCAATACCTATATAAATTTCTTATGATTTATTCTTCCTTTTCACTCATTGGTTTTGCCCCACTTCAATGTCTTTAACCTTGTCTGGGTTCTGGGCAATTAAGCTAATTTTGAGAGAATATGGAATTGACCAACATAAAATCAACGCCGCCGCCGCCTACCTTATTCGTCCAATAAGAGCAAGTCAAACATCATCTTTAGCAAATGGACATCAAAAGTTTCTTTCTTTCCCTAGCAGCCATATCAATATTTTCCAGGTACACTAGCAGCAATCAGTGATGGCATGCAATATGGTTGGACAGCTCCAGTGAACCCAATTCTTCTCAGCCCTGATAGTCCAGTGAAAACAACATTGCATGAAGCGGAATGGCTGGAAACCCTTCTGATGATTGGTTCCTGTTCCACCCTATTAATCACTATATTCCTCGTGGACAGAATAGGAAGAAAGAAGTCACTGCTGCTGTCTTCATTCGTCACCCTTGTGTCATGGATAGTTATTGCTGTAGCACCGTCTGTCGAGTACCTGTTAGTCATAAGGTATGTAAGTCACATACTCAGTTAAGAAATCTAATAGAGATGATAAGTAACACTAGAGTGGTCGAAAGTTATACTACTCCAAGCGGATAACGGCTAAAAAGCCCCATAAGTAGATGTTTTCTGAAGTAGTTGAGGATGGAAGTCTCGGATGATACATACAGTCGAATATATGACAAAGAAAAATACTTGAATTGACTAATACAAAGTGGTCGAAAACTCAAAACTATTTTATTCGAAAGGCTCACGCTATCTCGCAAAGAAATGCGGGAAATGCGGGAGAACTATCCAGTGCGTCATTCTACGCATATAAATATCTATCTCATGTCTGCATCTCTATTGCTTTTGTCGTGAACGTCGGCCGTGAAAAACTCAAACTTTCACAGTTTAGAAAAGAAGCAAGCACGGCATGGCAAGTGAAAGCCATTAAGTCAGCATAAAGCAAGCATTTTTCATGTGTGAAGTCCTCCTTACCGATAGCATTGGCTTGATAAGAGTACGTACGTGTCTTGTCTTAGGCAGTTTGCCCTCCTACTTTTAGTTTGTCTGAGATAGCGCTGCTCGACTTCAGGGAATGAACTAAATCGTAGACGTGTACTCAGACTACGACCATCGCTGCCAAAATCCGCGAAAGCAAAATTGAAAGCGTACCCCGTGAGACCGTGGTTTATCCTTCGCTAGATATTTAGAAATATTGAGGATCAGGGAGTGTCCGACCAAAATTAGTATACTGAGTGACAAAAGAGGTAGACACCTACGTATGTTTATCCGATTTTAATAATATTTGGCATATACGTTCAGTGTTTCCTTACTAGTATAATGATTAAACTTTCAACTTGATTCGTCAACTGACTACAGATGCTGGTTCAATAATGTATTGAGGATCCACGCTTTCTTATATGGTACACTTATTGACACGCCTGGGCATCGTGCTGATAAGGTAATCGATTTCCTGTTGGGGTATCCCATTCCAGGCTACTGCTACTTTGTGAGTAAGAGCTGCTGAAGTCTGTGGAGGGTGTTGTAAATACAAGAGCCTGCGACCTATCATGTCCATGAAGGCTAACGATGCTCTGGCAATATGCGGTCTGTCATTGTCTTGCTGAAAAATCGTATTTTGTCTAGTGTTTAGGCAAATGGAATAAGCTGAGGCTCCACTACTTCCTGAATATAGCATCGGGCTGTCATACTGCCGCTGATGAAAATTAGTGGTGATCTGCTACCATAAGCAATAGCACCCCATACCATAACTCCCACGGTGTGGTGAACGTGACGCTCTCTGTCAAATTGTGGGTCACGTCATTCACCACGTCGCGTTCTTACTTTTGCCGAACATCGGGCATCCCCAGACAGAAGCGGGATTCCCATAGAATTCTTTATCTATAACAGAGTAAACGGTTACGCCGACGTTCAGCTGTGAGAGGTGATAAGAAAAAAAGGCCAAACTGTCGTATTCGGCGATATACCGTACGCATACCAACCAACCTTCCATACTATTCAAACCACTGATTAGCGATGGCTCGAGTTATACTGAACCTGTATCTCAGAGCCAGCGCCAGGCTGGCGGTCTTGTCGCTCTGTGGTCCCTCTGGTATGCTCAGTCACACTGCAGTATACTGCGTAGAGATCTGTTGGTGCTCCTAAAAACTCTTATCGATAGACCGGCTTCACGCAACCCAACAATTCGACCCGTCTCAAAGGCTTTCAATAGGCTACACGAAATTTAACATTTACCTGACACCATAAATGTACGAAAACTGAATGCTTCTTTATCACCAGACAGTACACGAAGCCAACGCAAAGACTTAACAGAAAAATCTAACCATTTTATCACTTGTTGTTCATGGCAAGGTAAATCGATATGTAAAAAATTCTTGAATTCTGCCGAAACCGAAATTTTGGTCCAATTTTAGTTTTGGTCGAAACCGAAAGCGAAATTTCCAAGTGAGGAGTATGGTATGGGAGGTTGGGAGTAGATGGTAGTGAATCTCCAATAAAATAAAAAACTCAGTCTCTTACTCTCTTACTTAAAGTTATTAATAATAATAGCAGTTTATTACTACTACTATATAATATGTAATAATCATCCTTTCTTAAATATTATTAAGACTTAGGTAAAGAAAAATAAAGCAGTACTACACTTACGACATTTGACCCTTAAAAAACTAAATAAATAATGTCTTTTTGTTTCCAACATTTTGTAAAAAAACAGAAAACAGAACAAAAGTAACAACTTATGACCTGTTGTACCAACAGTACTTTTCGTTAGTTTAAACGGAAAGCTAGTTTAATTTGAAGATTCCTATTCCACAAGTACTTAAACCTGATTTAAAATTTTGTAAACTGTGTTAAATGATCAATTTTTGGAGTTTAAAGATCATCTAATTCAGTTTTAGTCTTTAAAAATGGATTTTATTGCTCATGGTGACATTTTAATGATTACGAGTATTTTTGTATCCTTGAACTAATAAATATTGATTTTCTGGAAAAATTATCCAAAGACCAAAAACAAAAGCTAGTTCCAAGAGATTAGATATTTATTGGATTTTTTTAACGAGGAAATTTATCTAAGCACGAACTAGTTATCATAAACTACAACTCAATAAAATCTTGGGCTTCCTGCACAGCAAAACCTCAAAAATCCTCTAATGGGCAAGCCTGTGGCAAGTTTGAAGGATTATCGGGAACAAAAGGGGTGTTGTGTTGTCGAAGCCAGTTTTGGGTATCTCTTGAGTAATGGCATGATGCTAGGTCTGGCCAAAACATGATATGGTCATTAGTATGATGTTAGGAGACAAAATGAGGCAATCCGAAAAGGCAGTTATCAATATAGCTCTAATTATTCAAAGCTTCACCCACCACTCTTCCCACAAAAGGTTGGGATACACCCCTATTAGAAATTGCACACCAGACAAGGATTTTATCTGCAAATCTCTCTTTACGTTTGTATCTAATATTGTCAGGGCATTCATCTACGTTATCCGTATAAAATCCGGCGTTTCCTCCATTTCAGAATTACTCAAAGTGAAATACTTTTCGTCATCTAACATAAGAATTTTTCCATTGGCAAAGTGCACCGGCCTCAGTTGAGGACAGCATTTTGGTACACGAAGGAGGTGCGCTTGAGAGTATTTGGGGCACTTGAGTCTCTTTCGATATTTAAGACCATTCCTCCCCAATTCCAACGTTATCGTACTCTTAGAAGATCTGTATTGACGAGATAGTCTTCTTCTTGATATTCCAACCTGATTTTTTGCTTTTCTCACCAATGTCTCTGACCTCTGTACAGTAAAATCGTGTGGTCTTCCACATTTTGGAAGATTCAGATATGGTATTCCCTGCTCGCACTCCGCTGTTGTTCTATCTTAAAGCGAAAACTTCAAAATAAATAAATGTCAACCCAACTAGCAAAGTAGTGCAAAATAAATAAATGTCAACCCAACCAGCAAAGTAGTGCTATAAGCTTTTGGTAAAAGAACCGTTCAGCCATAAAAGCTCTCTATTGTGGTTGTCTGAACACTAAAATGCTGGCTTGTGGTATCCATGGTAACATTTACAAAACAAACCCAAGCCTTGTTGTTTTGCTGTGCAAATTTACTACTTTAGCCAACAAATTGCTCCCAACGGAAGTACTTATACAACTGTTGTTTAGTAACTGTTAAAGGCAACAATATTACAACTTTTGTAGTACAAAATTGCTATGCTCGGCATACATATATGTTGGTATACAACTTCACCATAACCTAACTTTCTGCTGTCATATTGTAGCTAAAATGCCATAACCAATGTTTTAAGGCAAAGAACGCATGCATATTGGTTCAAAGGCTTTTATCAACTGTTCAAACAGAAGATATAGATCTGGTACAAATTCTGGGTAAATCACTTTGTCAAATTGTTGTATAACACCTGCAGGCAACACCAAAATATTCTAATAAACTAAAGACAACATAGACGATCCCATGATTATACACAACCACCGCCATATTGGGCAAACATTTGTTACTCTATTTAATATTAAATAATTATGTTTCAGTTCGAAATTACAGATACAACGTGATAAACATCAGTGTAATTGTGTCTAAATATAGGATTTGTGGAAGATTTAACGCAAATAAGTTCAGTTTTCCATCTTAAAAATCTAGACATACTTTTGATCATTATTAAAATATTAATCAAATACGAAGCCCTTAGAAACTGTGTAACTACTGTGCACGATAATCACAATAAAATTTGCTGCGTAAGTAACTCAATAGCCTTATATCACAGTGTAAAAGTTCATCATATACCTGTGGATGAAATTCACAATGGCCGATATGTAAGTAAACAAGATGACTGTAATGTGTTAGTTATATATTTTTCACTTCGTTTATACAATACATAAGAAATAGTTTGGTTGCAATAAAGTAGAATCACGTAACATAATAGTTGTATAGTTGACAAAAACTGAATCTTGCACTAACGCAAATGTCCTATAGCGGCTGCAAGAGGCTTACACTTTTGTTGTATAACTGTTACCTGCAGCCCTTATACAACCTCTTAAATGACTGAAGTGTCCTATTAGGTGTGCCCATTCCTCATGTATAACTGTTCAAAGAGGGTTTTGCCAATGTTCTTACAGTATACAATGCTGTGTAAGGAATACTGTATAATCATTCTTGCAACTCTAATAGCAGTGATAATTGTTAGTTGGGAACTGACAGTAAAGTGAGTAAGCCAACGTTTGTTTCCAAAGGCAACTTGGTATTATTTTGTGTTTGATAAAATTAAATCCAATTAACTTTTAAGACATACGTTAATAGTACCTACCTAGGATTTTTTTAGGAAACTTAGTTTGTACAGTTTTAAATAATCTGCCTGAAATTGAGCCTGAACTGTTATTCCCCAATAATGTATGTGTTATGTACTATCTTGAATTACATAAAAGAGTCCCTAGATTTCTGTAGTCTTAAAAACTCGAATTCAACGTTAGTGCAACAGGTCATTAGAACGTAATATAATAATCATAATTGAACAGTTTGATATTATATGACACGAATAATGATTTTTTGACATTTTTCTCTTGCAAATTTGACCTTTGGTCTGAATAAATTTGCCCGAACGTTCCCGAAACGATGCGAACGTAGTTTCGGTATCGGTTGCAGTCTGATATTATATGACATGAATAATGATTTTTCCACTTTTTCCTCTAGCAAATTTTACTTTTCTTCTGAATAAATTTGCCCGAACGCTCCAGAAAACATTCGAACGTAGTTTCGGTATCGGTTGCAGTTTCGCGTATCTTCTGACGAAGTCGAAACTCTAATTTTCGACCGAATCTGGCCAAAACCGAAAGTGCAATCGGACATTAGGTCCTAGTACTTGTCTTTGATCAATAAAAATACTCATATCTTAATAATTTTCAGGTTCTTCGCAGGAAGTGCAGGAAACACCTGCTTCGTAGCAGCTCCAATGTACATAGCTGAGATAGCAGATCAGAAGATCCGAGGTTTCCTATCTTCCATTATCTACTGGATGATGCTCCTGGGCATACTCCTCATCTACGGTGTCGCACCTTTCGTGCCCATTTGGGCACATTGCATCATAGGAGGAGGATTGGTTCTTCTTGAGCTCATCATATTTCCTTTTATGCCAGAATCGCCTTATTATCTACTGTACATCAATAAGCCTGAAGAGGCAGAGCGATCTTTGAGGTGGTTGAGGCACAAAGACGCCAACATTGAGAAGGAGATAGAAGAAATAAAGTGTGCTGTGGAGAGACAAAAGAAGGAACAAGGGCGACCACAGGACTTGGTCATGGTTCCAAGCAATCGTAAAGGAATCACTATCATGGCCATTTTGAACCTAGCTCAACATTACAGTGGTATCAGTGTAATGCTTATGAATCTACATTCCATCCTAGAAACTGCAGGCTCTGTGTATATGTCTGCCTCCACCACGGGGATAGTTTTCTCAGTACTAATGCTAGTAGCAGCTACCACAGTATCAATTACTATTGACAAGTACGGTAGAAAAGTATTACTCCTGGCTTCTAGTACCTTGACAGGAGTTTGCCAGTTGGTCTTAGCCATATACTTCAGCTGTAAAGCTGCTGGTTATAACTTGGACAGCATTAGTTGGATACCAGTTGTCTCGGTTATGTTTTATGCCTTGTTTTTCAAATCTGGTATGGGTATGGTGCCCATAGTCCTTACAGCAGAGCTGTTTCCCACTAAAATGAAAGCTCTTGGTATGACAATTGCCGATGGCTTCTACGTTATAGGTGCAATCACTTCACTGGTATTGTACCAACAGTTGTCACGTAACGTGGGTATCCAGTACCCCTTCTACTTTTTCTCAGCAATATGCTTCATGACAGCAGGCTTTTCGCATTGGTTTATACCTGAAACTAAAGGGAAGACATTGGAGGAGATACAGTTTATATTGAAGGGGAACAAACACGGTACTCAAGATGTTAAATATGTCAAAGAGCAGTCGGTGTTACTCAAGGATAAAAACTGTGATTTAGAATAGTAAAGGAGGTTTGAAGAGGAGTTATAAAACGCGTGAAGAGATAAAAGTCATTTGTTCAGGTTTTGAGAGGCTGTTGCTAGATCTATTTGGAAAATATTTCATTCATGTGAAAAACGTCCTACAAATGTTTTTACAAAACAGTGTATCCCATTATACACTGGAAATGTATCTGCTGCAAGTCATCAAAATTCCGCCGCTGTGCTGCATGGATCCCCTGGAGGTCTCCGTAACCAGTAGCGCAATTGCCAGTGGCGGGGTATACATTTTTATTGTCTATAGCCCCGTTTTACAAAACAAAATGAAATCGAAAATCAACAATTCAAGCTACAAGATGGTCTACACCTAAGTAATTGATTGTATGCCGCTTGAAGCTGTTTTAGAACTAGGTATCAACAAACTGCACACACTACACAGCATTTTAAGTCACATACTTGACTTGACTAATATTTTCTTTTAAACCTAAGTTAAGCCTTTAACTATGGTATGACTACAATTTTACAATATGTTGAGCCAACATTTATGTATGTAAAAATTTTTAGTCAACGCTTGCTTTCCTTTTTGCCCATAGTGATGACATATGTAATCAATTTATGTGAAAACAAAATCTAATAAAGGAGAGATAGCACATGTGAATTTGACCCCTTTCAACGATTTCCTTTTCAGCGTACTTTTGGTTTAGATGAAAGCAAGGTTGATGTTATAAAAAAAATTGCTGTTTAAGCCAAAAATGCCTTGCCACGGTAGCTATAATTTAGAGAGCAAAATGGTAGTGCGATTCACAAATCGACTCTGAGTTAGTGGGGCACAAGGGCGCCACTTGTCTTTGATACAAGTGACAAGTCCAGCCAAGGAAAGCTGTCACCGACAAAGGCGAACTTCAAATTGTATGATCTCAAATATAAGTAGCAGTTAGTGATAACACTTATGTGGGTGTGTTGTAGGCGGTAGCAATAAAGCAAGAAAGTAGATATTCCTTCTTTAATTGTTACTGTTGTATTTCTTCAAAATCGTCCCAAAAATTTACATCTATAAATATTCCAAGATTCCTTAAGGTTATGCTGCAAGGGAAATAGTTAATATAAGGAACTTGACAATAACACGACCATGTACAGGTGGATAGATGAAGCCTTTAGATGAATCTGTCAATCGAAAAAAAAATATACACTGCCACGCAAAATTAACCGACAAAAAAAATTATGTTCAAATGAATTTTAAATAACTTTTTAGCCTATGCATCAATTACATTAATTTTTTCGTCAGATTGTAGGTAATTTCATTTTCATCATTATTGACTGTCGATCTCGTAAAAATTGAAAATATTTCTTGTTATACAGGGTGTAACTAAAAGGTGCATCTTGCCCTAAATTTCTGAAACACCCTCTGGAAACACTTGATTACTGAATAATGTGTCTTAGTATGAGAATTTTATGCCTCAATAGTTCTTTTTTTTATTCATGTTAATATCTCAATTATTGAATAATATATGCTGTTTTGAAGATAACCTGCTCAGCTTTGACTCGAAGATTGAATGATGTTCATGGTACCATAGTTTCACCTGATACCGTACGCCGAAGGTTGAGAGAAGGAAACCTTGTGTACCTGCTATACGTCTTCTATTGGTTGTAGGTAAAATCCAAGGCGGCGCTTGGTATTTTCTCGAACTCATGCAGATTGGGATATGGACGACTGGAAAAACGTTATTTTTACAGACGAGTTTCGTTTTAAGAGAAATTCACCTGGTGCTGGAGAAGTGATGGTATGGGGCGGTATTTCTTTGGAATCCCGCACAGATCTTGTTTCGCTACGAGGAGGACACCTTACTGCCGGCAGGTACATTAGTGAGTGCTTGGAAGAACATGCGGGTCCTCATATGCCCTTTATAGGAGAAAATTTTCTCCTAGATGAAGATAATTCTCGGCCGCATATATCCAGAATGACTAGGCAATACCTCATCGATGTTGGTATTAAAGTACTAGACTGGCCGCCAGGGAGTCCGGATCTCAACTCCATTCAGCATATGTGGGGTACATTACGAAGAAGGCTTAAGCAGAACTATGGAAAATTTCAAACTGCGGCTGCGTTGGAATAGGCGCTGGTGTACGAGTGGGAGCAAATACCCCCATCACACAATCGCTGGTTTAATTGAGTCAATGCCAAAGAAGATGAGAGCTGTTATTCAAGCCCGGGGAGGAAATACTCATTTTTGATAACAATTTCCAATTACCAATGTAATTGATGCAAAGGTTAAAAAGTTATTTCAAATTTAATTTGAACAAAATTTTGTTGTCCGGTTAATTTTGCGTGGCAATGTATATATAGATATAATGAGCCAACGATCAAATACGTAATCAAATATCTGGAAAATAAGCAAATAGTTAAATGATTAAGAAGGCCCTTAAAATTAGCTTAAACTATTAGCATCAAATTTCACAGCTATATGGTTACAACTAGGGTACAAAATGACTGGTATCTAAAAAAAATGGCAGGCAAAGTACGTACTTAATACATCTAAATAAGAAGCACACATCTAACAAATCCACGACGTAAATTCTCCAAAGGAAATCAGATATAAATGGTCTTAGCGCAACAACATAGCAATCTTTCAAAGCATATCGGGCAAGGTAACAAGGGCAAAGCAAAACTACAGCAAAGTAACATCAAGGTGGAGCGTAAATCTGCAGCACTGCGGATTTCAGGCGTAAACAGCTCGGTAGAAAGCAAATAGAGGGTCCAGTAGTTCTACGGCAAAAAAGCAACAGGTCTGGCGGCGACGGGTATGCACAATCTGACAAAAGTCGAGCTACTTGCAAAAAATGATGGCACAACTGTAAATAGACAAACGATATACAGGGAAAACCAATTTTTTTTGACAGCTTGAAGAAGCCGGCTGAAGAGCGAAGGTCATCACCGCGTTGCCCAGCGACGGTGACGCAGAAAGTCGAGCAATCTGCCGCTTCGCCAATTACACCAGAAAATGTTCGCACAGGTTTCTACAATAGGTTAGGTTACAGTCAAACCCAATAATTGGGTCTGTTCGAACATCTAATTAAATATTTTGTTTTCATTTTCATTAGAATTATTTATTAATTTTTATTTTAGAATCATCTTTGATTTCCACCAATTATGATAACATCAATACATCCTGAGTTATTGTTACATTTTGAGACAGCGCTGCGGTCGAAAAATGCAAAAAATAACGTTTCGTAATACATATGATCACCGCCTGCGTGTACGCAGGTGAAAGCCAGCCAACAGAACGACACGATTGCTGGATGGGGACTGACCAGTACTGGACTAAACCGATGATGCAATGATGCAGAATTTGTGGCGTACCTGACCTAACCTTTCGACCCAACATCGACTCTAAAGATATTCAACACAATTCACAATTCAAAAATGTGTTCATACAAAATAAAACCATTATTTGTTCGTAAAGAATAAACCAACGCATATTTTCAATATGCATCTCAATTCAAGGAACTGGTGTAACATATTGGCAAGGCAGCAGATTGCCACGTTAGCGTTGCTAAGCAACGTGGCAGTGAGCTTTGATATCCAGCCGGCTTCTATCTCTTTCTAACATATGTGCCTATAATCACTTGTCTCTCGTAGACATTGAACTCAAGCCATCAGACAAATTTGGTTTTCAGTGTATATGCCATACCAATCATGATTTATCTGTCAAAGAGGTTAATGCACATGCCCTATGCACCTACACTACGTCAATTTTTTATTTATTTGAACCAAAAAGGCTTAGGACTCCCAGAGACTAACCTCTCGAGCTTTGTGGCCATTTAAAAGTTTCGATCCGAGTGAAAAAAATAATATTTTCCATTAGTTTAGAGAAATCTTCCTAGTCCTTTTTGATGGTTATTGTAGCATCGTAAACATAGTTTCTACCGATGCTCCTGTATATTCTATATGAGTAACGTGCTATGAGAATCCTTCAGAGCATTAACTTGATGCCAAGCTTATATACTCTGATCTTCAACTCACACATTTTTTTTAACGGATCTACTTTGCAATTTGAAAGTAATGATGAAAGGAAAAAACAAACGAACTGTCACCTGGAAGACAGATAATCCAATTATTGCCATCGCACTGAAGAAGATCACCCTTTGTGATTAAAACATTTACTACAGTAACGAAAATGTGTCAATGTGCATGTGGTTTCAAGTCCAGACAAGTAAAGGGGATTATGAAATGAAATGCCAACTGAATGCAACAATAGAACTACAAAATCCGATTTCAAGCAGATGTTTTTCCATCTAACCTTGATAAAATTCAAACATTTACTCACCGAATGATTATTCGCTCAACTATGAAACAAACAATAATTAAGATACCCTATAAGTGCTCTATTATAAAACGTAGCCTGTGTCAAGAATCACAAATATCAACAAGCATAGTAAAATGTATTGTCATAATCCATGATGCTATTTCTACACATCAGTGCATACTGCGTATCCATCATACAATTAAATTGCTTTTGAATCTACCAGAGCCGACTTTAATGCCACATCAAATTTGCCCGTTAATACCTGAAACAAAAGCGCGCGCAGTGTTTTTACAGCCGTTTATGTCAATATCAAAGCGATGGTCCGACGCAGTTGATGGAATAAAATGGGCCTTTTGCACGAAAGTGGTACAGGCCGATGGCTTGGGGATCATCGTACATTTTGAAATTTTTCGATATATTTCGAGTGGTATTTGGCGAACAACTTGTAGTCTAATCATATTAGACGAAAATGCCGCTGGTTTGCGAAATGATTGTAAAGTCTCGTTTTATTGCTGCAAGTTGTTCACGGTATTCAAAGCATGGACGCATAGAATGGGTACACCAATTTTTGTGGGAAAACCTTTTATTCGACAACAATGAATGAGAAATCGTGTTTTTTGAGATTCAATCGAAAGCTCTTCATATGAGATTTTTGGGTATTTGAAATTTCTTTAATTCGTAGGATTCATACTTCTGAATAACCATAACAAAATTCGAGTAGATTGGTCAAGTAGTTTTTGAGAATTTCTAATTGCTTATCCCACAACACTTGTTTTCCGGCCATCACTACTAGTTTAATAGGCAATATACAGGGCTATTTTAAAGGGCATTTTATAGCAAAATTCACTAGTCTACCTTGCCGATATCGATCGCAAACCATTCCGGAAGATAAATGCTAGACCTATTCGGGTTATCAATAAGCATAAATAGTCTGGAGATAAAAGAGAAATATAAGGTAGCATATGCGTCAAAACTTCATCTGAAGAAACAAGAATTCTTCCAGAGAAAAATCGACTTTTCTGCCAACACAGCAAAGGAAATATGGAGTATTATATCTTTGGGATTATTTTGCAAAAATTGCTGAGGTTATGCTACTATCTACATACGATACATTAGAGAGCCATTATTCTATACAAAACAATCTAAGATCACTGTTCATTAACTATATTGTTCCATCAGAATTACTGCCAGTTGTGAATGACTTCAGAAACAAACCATCGGGCGGTCCAGATGGCATACCAATTAAGGTGACAAAGTTTATCTCTGACTACCTTATACATATATCCCCTATGTTATATATTTAACCTTTCTAACAGTACAGGAATATTTCCGGATAGCTTGAAGCTAGCAACCATCATCCCTGTGTATAAAAAAGGAGACCGATAGGTACTTGGTAATTATAGGGCAATAACGCTAGTCTCTTGTTTTTCTTAATTATTTAAAGCAATTGTCCACCACAGACTAAACAATTTTATCAACGAATACTCAATTTTGTCACCAAACCAACACGGGTTTAGGCCTAGACTCTCCACAAATACAGCTGCATTCACAATTTTAAGTTATATCTATGAGTCTGTAGATAGTGAGCGATATACCCTGGCTCTCTTCTTCGACCTAAGTCGAGCCTTTGATTGTATTGATTATAACCTTCTCGTTGAAAAGCTTAGATTTACGATGGATGTCTTTTAAGTTTTGCATATGGAAATAAAACAACACGGTAGGTAGTTTTAGA